AAAAGAGTGTTGAGTAATGGCATGAGGAAAATATACTATTTTTGAGAATACAAATTAGGATCCAAAGTACACATCAAACTTACTTAATTTAGCACCAAAATCTGTGCCCTCTACCCCTTAGTTTTTACTAGTTCCTCCACTCACCCTGTATTCTCTGCTATCGTCGCATTGTCATAATCAAAATCGTCCTCGTCCTCATCATTGCTGGTGTCCATTTCATCCTCTTCATTCTTTTGTGGCGTTTGACGTTTCATTTCGCCCGACAACTTTTGTTCATTGCCAAAAGTGGCGGTTCTCGCGTCCATGGCCGTGGCTGGCGTTAAATTCTTTCGCTCCTGCTTCTTGCCCTCGCTCTCAATATCAAAAACGGTGAGTGGAGCATGTCGGTGCCTTGCCTCTTGGTTAATTTTCTCAAACAACGTGTTAATCTGCTCAAAGCGTTGCGAAATGACGGACACATGATAGATGAACTCCCCCTGGATGATACTGCCGGCCAAATAAGGGAAACTCGACACCATAAACGGTATGAAGGCGTAGTTACCAAAGGTCCTGAAAGATTTGGGTGGAAAGTACATAAAGGTCAGAGTTCCGTTGTGGTAAGTGAGCCGTGAAAAGACTTAAAGTAATTACTTGAGGCTTACGGGTAATTTAACGTCTGTAAAACTCGTAGTTTGGATGGGGTTTACATCATGGCAGAGTGAGTAAAATGAACATTTAAAAGTAAACTAAAAGTGGATTGAAATGGGTCGCAAAATTGTGTGTCTTTGGTTCGAACGAATGGTAACGAATTTAAGAAGATTTCTACATGGGAATTATACGTTTAAACTTTCAACATTTAAGCTGCTGAATCCCTTCCTAAAGTAGTAATAGTTTGAATGAAATTTGCCAGAACTTTCCTCAACATGAAGGACAAATTTTCGAATATACTCACAGATATAGTGCCCTGATATCGTAGTACAGCGCAAATGCAAACACACAGAACAGGAAGAGCCACGTAAAGTGGTATGCCACACTGTGCTTCACCGCCGTGACCTTTACCCTGTCCATTTCCGCAACGCGTCGACACTTTTGGATGACGGCATCAATGGCATTCAGGCGCTCATCGAACTGCAGAAAGAACTCCTTGCGACGATAGAGACTCATGAGTGTAACAGTCAGATAGAGAAAGGCGCCCAAATGCATGAACAAAGTGTTGCTCAGGCGGCAGACGCTGTTGCAAGAGTCCAGGAAGCACAAACCAAAGACGTGTCGCAGATTGATGAGAAAGTAGCAGCCCAAATAGAACACAGGCACCAGCGACATCATGGCATAGTCGAGGACCACATTGGATTGCGATTCCTGCCGGTTGAGTGGAATAAGACCGATTGCCTGTAAAGGAAAATGGCTTAGAGCTTTAAACAACAAATTGAGGGAGTCATTTCTGTGGCTTACCATGGAGAACCAATTCATAATTTGTATCATTTTTGTAGCTGCAGTTGTCCCTGCTCTGGTCCGTTCCCTTTCACTTCACTATTTGCACTGAAGTTGTCGGGGCTGTCCCACAAGGGTTTCATATTTACGTACCTCAATTGTTTGGTCAATGAAAACGGAGTGGATAATGTGCACATGTTTAAGATAAATATCTTTCGAGTGGCGCCTAAAATGCTTTTAGCTTATTAAATGTGTAGCTACACTGCGAGAAATACTCGTAGTTGTGGCGGAAAACTACTGAGTTTGCTTGGTAAATAAATGGAAAACTTTGTGAGCCTTAAATCTTTATTGTGATTTTTTGCTTGTTAAAATAGTTTATGGAATTAAAGAGTCTCCAATTCTGGCAGTGTAACTTTGACTTGTTTGTGTCATTTATTGATTTATAATATATCACTACAAATATTTGTTAAGCTTCTTTATTCTTATAACTATTTGTAAATAATATAATTGGTACTGCTATTTGCATTTTAGTGAAGTTTTAAAGCCAGAAACTCGCCTGTCATTCAATGGCCGGAACTTGAAGCTCAGGTATGATTTTTCTATTATTTTTCTATTAATTGAACCATTGAGTATTTGCACAGAGATATTTAGCTGCTTGAAACATTTCCCAGAGCCCTGCAATATGTACATAAATATGTATACATATAAATATGTACCATGTACAACCCACACAATAATTTCCACACATTTTCACCGCATTTTACTTGCTGATTAAACAATTATAAGTTAGTGCCCGCCCAACACTAAATTAACGAGTAAAACAAGTGCCAAACAGGACTCAGAACATCGCAGCTAAGACACGCGTTTCTCGCCTAGGAAAACCAATTAAAAGCAAAGCCCTCGCCAGCCGCTCAAAGAGCCGACTGGGGACACTCCAGTTGGAGCGAGGGGAAGAGTAAACCCCCAACCCACGAGATGATAAAATGCAAATTTCCCCTGAGTTGAGCAGCAACGGGGCTAGGGGCTGGGGCAAGGATGTGAAACAACAGTTACAACTATAAGATGTAAGGATAAAGGATATTTGGACTGCTGGCTACCTGGGAATAGTGCAGGAACTGACAGAAATGAGAACAAATGATAAATATTTATTAAATGAAATATTTACATAATTAGAGCAAAATGTAGGGCCTGAGAAGTAGATTTCGATATCGAAATATTTATTTATATAAATTTCATCCAAAACTCTCTGCCCCATATTAAATATACCCTGGAAAACGTGTAGCAGGCACCACAAGACGTTCAAGTTGTTGCTGGCTGCCTTTTGGTTCCTTTAGTTAATAATTAAGTTTGCACGCACAAAGCAGCATCTGACTTGTTTGCATATGAGCTGTGCAGAAGGACTGGCAAGAGAGGGCTCAGACTGTGTGTTAGAGAGTGGCAAACATCTTCTGAATCCTTTACTTATGCCTGTGCACATGCCAGAGCTGATGGGAGTGCCACGAAACCATCTCTAACACACACAGCGTGTGTAACTCAAACCCAATGAAACGAAGCCTTTTCATATTTGCCTTTGCCGATGGAGACTTGTCCTTCGACTAGCAATGTTCCCCCTATCATTTGGGTGGGCTTTTTGCCTGGGGAAATTCTTTTAAAATGTGGCATGTAAATTTCGATTAGTTTATTGTAGTGCTCAAGTCGGTGCTGATTGTTATTGCCTTGGGTGTCCGCCATAAACACGCCCACGCCGATGCAGGAAATTCTCTTAAATTGCTGCCCAATGCGCTTTATCCTCGAGTCCCTCGTTTGTATTTTTATTTTGTATTTGGCTCCCTTTGGCGGTATCAATAAAATTGCGGTCATAAAGTGTAACCGTAATGGTCCTCAGAGCCGCTTCCTTCTTTTTTTTTGGGCTCTGGGCCAGGACACGCCTCTGCGGCCGCTCGTCTCTGGCTGTAAGTCACTCAATCATGTGGCAGCGCACACTTTGCTTTGCTCTTATTTTTTATTTATTTTCTTCCTCTGGCTTGTAATGAGCTTGTTTGCTCAAGATTTTGGCGCAAAGATTTGCCTAAACGTTTCTTTTTTGTTGTTGTTGTTGGACTGTTAAAGTGGAACATCTTGGCGCTGTTGTGCCAGTGCCCTGGGGCACTTGCTGACGTGCTGAGGGGGTGCTTGGGTTTGGGAGTGATTTTGTTGGGGTTTTATAAGAAATGTTGTAGCATTATATATGCTTCGGTTGAAGTTTTGATGATGAATCAAACAAAAATAGAAACCCAATGGCTAATGTGATCATTTGATATTAATTATTGCGTACAGAGTTGCATAAATGAATGAAATTTCATTCATAAAAATATACTCCTCCTTCGCGAGTGTTCTTTTGGGAAATCTTCAGCTCAAAAGCTTCTTAAAGTCACCTTAAAAGCGCTTTCCCACGCAGTGCCAATGCACTGCAAAGCTTTCAAGAGATCGAACGGTAGATAGTCCCATTCCCCCTAACAACGAGCACGCCCAACGGCCACGCACAGACAAGCCACAGAGTAGCCCCAGTCCACAGCTTTGAGCCTTGGCCGAACTTTCCAAAGGGTTTCCCTTTTTTGGCATCCTCTGCTCTGCTGTTGCGGTCTGTTAATGACTTTTGGCAACTCAACCATTGAGCAAAGTTTATGATAAACAAACACACACATGAGTTGTGTGTGTGTGTGTGTGTGTGTTTGCTGCTGTTATCTTTGCCCAACGTTGCGTCAAAAACTTAACTAGCCAAAACAATTATTTCTATCGCTCTTTTGTTGGCGTCCCTGTCTCTCTGTTGCTTTCGCTTGGAGCAGACAGAAAGTGATTGTTCTTATTGCTTGTTACATAAATATTTCATTAAAAGCCATTCATAACCAGCATTCGGTGTTGACAGTCAGCATGGCCCACCACGTGTCCATGAGAGGCGAAGAGAGAGAGAGAGAGACGCAAAGAGAGTAATCGCTTGGGCACAGTAGAGCTTTTCACCACACTGTGACTGACTGTGCCACCCCACCTAAATGTCGACAACTTTGTGTAAACATTAAGAGGGCGGGCGGGCGTTCGGGCGGTCGGGCGTGCTGTGCTGCAGCTTCCGTTCGTGCTGCCACTACTGTGGCTGCTGCTGCACCATCGCTCACTTCATGCCACGCTTTAGCCCAGCCAAGGCAAATGTCAAATGCCAAGGATGTGGCACAGCCACGAATTGGTTGAAATTTTAAAGCGCTTTTGTCTGTTTGTTCTGTTTACGGAAAACGGAAGGAGCTGACATTAGTATTGGGAGAGAGTCTTTTGTGGCTATTGTCCAGGCGGTGGAGGGCGTAAATAAACAGTCAGGCAGGAGGAAACCAACAGTTTTATTGTTTTAAAGCGAGGGACCACTCACCCAAGACACAAACCAAACATTAAGAGCACAAAATTGTTCCCCACTTGCCAAAAGTATGCCTCGCTTTCTGCTTGCCCATGAGTGAAGGCAGGCCGTCAGACTGCCGACTGCCAATCGTGGCCGATCGTATCGCATTGATGTTCGAATGGAAGAATAAACCCAGCACCTTTGTAGTAGCTTTGAGGTGTGCGTATCTGCCTCTAGTCGCACATTAAGCGTTCGGCGCAGCGGTTGTCAAATGCCGCCTCGGGGCGACAATAACGTTGAAAACAATAGCAAGGATAACAAGGATGTCGGGCTACTGTTGCTGACAGATACATCGGCGGACACAACGAGTCCCACCCCACCGCGTGCAGCGCTGCAAAAGATTTTCATTGATGACCGGACAAAGCGCTGCGATGCATCCCGGCTGAAGCGACAGCGTCTATGGCGTGTGCCCTGGTTCATATTGCTGATGTGCTTTATGCAGGTTCGATTTCGATTTCGATTTTGATCTGTTGCAGCTGCTGCTCTACTTTATCTCGCACCCCCCATTGTATCTTTGTTTCTATTTGATTGGATTGTGTAATTCATCAAATCAATTTTTTGCGCACTGATATGTTGACAATTTTTAAATTCCAAAAATAATTAAATTGTTTATTTTTGTTTTGCCCGCAAAATGTTTACAGCTGATAAGCCCCAAGCAGCATTTCTGTGCTAAATAATTCCACAAAAAAAATCTGTGCTTATAATCTCCATATATACTCGGCGTTTATGCGATTTAATTTAAACAAAACAAATTGTTTGCTTTTGTTTTGTGTGTGTGCGGCCATAAATTCGTTGGAATTTTCACTTCTGTGGAAAAATTTCTTGGTTTGGTTTGGTTTTGTTTGCGGTTTGTTGGGTGGAAGCATTTGGGTAAATAAAATAAATTTGATTCTTAATGTGTGCCACAAAGAAGTTCATAAGTTTTGCTTGATTGAAGGTTTATTTAAATCAAAAAATGAAAGAGTAAACTTTGCAGAACTATTGTGCCAGCTGCAGTCTGGCTTGCTGCTTTTGTTTTTCGTTATTCAGGAATTAAATTAGCTAAAAGAACTCCAACTCTGGTCAGTTTGTTTCCTGTTGTTGCTTCTTTAAACTATTTATAAATATTCCCTTCATTTCCCACTCTGTTTGCTCTGTTTGGTCTTGCAGCTTTGCATCAAATTACTCACTTGCAAACTGTTGCACCACCCAAAGTCCCACAAGTGTGACCCATTTGGCAAACAGACACTCTCATTAATCGATACCCTTATTGTAGTCACACTCCAGATGACATCGCTGAGTACGCGCTGCAATGCAGAGATTGTTGGGCGACAGCCCAAGCCAAGCCAACCCACAACTCCATGTGGCTGGTTGCACAATACGAACACTTTGTTGTGCCCCGATTTTTGCTACAGTATATTGCCATTTCAGTCATCGATTGAATGTTGCAACTCGCATTTGTCATATTTGGCGTGTTGCACCGCTGTTTGTGCTGTCAAGTCATGCGGCGCACATTGTGCGGCATCTTAACACTTGGCTGCTGGAGCGAAAGTGACGGCGCTTGTCGGCAGTTGTTGCCATGACACTGATCGACAAAGTTGGGGCTGCTAAATGGGGCATTGGTTGTAGAGATTGCAGTTTGAATAGATCTTTTGGGTTCCTTTTGCTTGCTCTGATTATGCATTAGATACAGAGCTTGTGCAAATCTTTAAGTTCTTTCCCCTTTGTCATTTAATCTCTTTTTTTTTCTTGCAGCTATCTCTGCATCTGATTGCCAACGAGTGCATGCACAGAAGACTGATCTACAAGCCGGAATGGAGTCATGAGTATTGGCGCCTCATCAGCTACATGCTGCTCCACGCCGATGCCTGGCACTTGACGCTCAACATTTGTCTGCAGGTGAGCATTTCGCAGCTCCACTTTCAACAGTTGAATAAGAAAAATACTTTTTGCAGTGCTTCATTGGTGTCTGCCTCGAACTGGAGCAGGGTCACTGTCGCCTGGCCGTGGTCTATTTTGCAGGCGGCCTGGCTGGTGCCTTGGCCAATGCCTGGCTGCAGCCTCATCTGCTACTCTTGGGCGCATCCGCTGGCGTCTATGCCATGCTCTTCAGTCATGTGCCACACCTGGTGCTGGTCAGTCAACTGGAAAACTACATTTATTTATTGTTTCTTTAATCAGTTTTTGCATTTTGTTGTTTTACATAGAACTTCCACCAGTTGTCGCATCGTTTTGCCCGCATTGCCGCGCTGCTGATATTGTTCCTCAGCGACGTGGGCTTCACGGCGTTTCACTTTCGCCAGCATCACAATCGCAATCCGCGCATCAGCTTGGAGGCGCATCTGGGCGGAGGCGTGGCCGGGCTGCTGTGCGGCTTCATCGTGTATCGACGTGTGCAGCAAAAGTCCAATCAAAAATCGATTTATTTGTAGTCTCAATTAGTTGTAGTCCCTGTGTCAACTGTCTGTCTGTAATTATTATTCTGGGCAAGCCGACCGGAATTGAAATTGCATAAATAATTACTGTACTCCCTGTTTGGGCTGTCTCGGCCCCCACACACACTTCTTTTTTTAAGTTTTTTCTTTTGTTTTGGTCGCGCATAATTTGGTTTTATAAATAAACATCGAGTTTACACCTCCCTGTTGGGCCAACACACAACTAATTGGCTTACAAATTGCCAACTGAATGGCTTTTAAATGCAATTAATTAATTACTCATCAAAGTGCCTACGGCTAATTGTGTTTGCCTGAATGTTTGATAACTGGAGTAAGTTTTTGGTGGTCAGAACTTGTTGCATTTTTGCAAGCAAGATAATAATTTGTAAATCAATTGAAGTCATTTAGTCATCCCTGTTGAGAGGGAATTTAGTTCAGGGAAATAAATACTTTCGTTGAAGATTTACTGTATATATGGCTGCTTTGTACTTGGACTTTGACCCTTCTCTTATCTAAGCAACGCAACACTCTCTCCATCGCACACACGTTTGCTTTTGGCGATCCCATACTGAAAATACACATGTACATACATGTACATATGCATATTTTACATCCATACATATGCATGCACACGGGAGAGCCGAAATATTCGTTCTGCTTCTTTGCACTTATGACAAGGTGTAGGAAGAGGAGAAGAAGGAGAGCGTGGAGTGTTAGAGCACAAAGTCGAGAGCGCAGCCATCTATGATTTTCTGGCTGCACCCACACAAAGCGCTTTAAACCTCCACCAACCCCACCATCTCACTCCCACGCACAAGTGACCAAACAACAGCCAAAATATAAGATGATCTTTTTTGCATTAAATCATGAGGGGAGAACAAAACCGACAGCGCAGCCGTCTATGCATTTTTGGCTGCTCCCACACCACGCGCTTTAGTTCTCTCACCCAGCCCCTCCATCTCACTCCCACCGATAGATGAGGGGGGGTGAGGAGAGGGCGAGCATAGAATGTTCTAGAACAAAGCCGGCAGCGCTGCACCCACATCGCGCTGCAACCCTCTCTCCATCTCATTTCCACCAACAGGTGACATACCTACACTCTATTCATTTCCTACTACTGCAAGAGAGGAAGAAGACAATGAGAAGAGATTTCAATGAGAGTCAATTCCCAATGTGCAAGCAATTAGCAAAAGCAATGTAAAACTGTAAACGACAAAAAGAACCCAAAAATTCCACCACCACCTTTGCAAACGTAGCAGATGAGAGAGGAGAGTGTGAGAGAGCAACGTCAAGAACAGCAGCAGAGCTTAAGCCGCCCACGCATCTCAGCAGCGCTCATCAATTAAAATTTTGCAACGGGTCAAAGCGGGTCGCAGTCTTCGTCTCCTCGCTTCAATCCGCTAAAATCGGGGAAAATAGTGAAAAATCAAATGAATGAAATCTCGCGCAATTGTAAAGTGAAGTGTAGTGTTTTGTGCAAGAAAAAGTTGCAGGTTCCAGGGCAGCGACGGCAAAATGGCAGCTTGGCGAAAAAGTGATGTGTAGTGCAGTGTAGTGATAAAGTGTAAATGTACAAAAATGTGTGTGTTTAGTGCAAGAAATTATATTGGACCCAGGGAGCCGGCAGAGGCGATATGGCAAAAGGCGAAAATGACAGCTCGGCGAATTTGGCGATATGGCGAAAAAGTGATGTGTAGTGCAGTGTAGTGAAGTGAAGTGGTAGTGCAGTGTAGTGATTAAATATAAATGTACAAAAATGTGTGTGTTTAGTGCAAGAAAATATATTGGACCCAGGGAGCCGGCAGAGGAGATATGGCAAAAGGCGAAAATGGCAGCTCGGCGAATATGGCGACATGGCGAAAAATGGCAGCTCGGCGAAAAAGTGAAGTGCTCATGAAATGTGTGTGCAAGAAAATATGTTGGCGAAGAAAGCGGCAAAATGGCACCAAATGGTGGCCCGGCAATGTGTGAAAATCATTTGACATGTATGTAAATCGGCATTATATATTCTGCGTAAATTAATTTTTTTTTCATGTGTAAAGTCACTGCCACAATTCCAGTTTTATGTGTGTGTGTGTGTGAAAATTTGGCAAAATATGCGCTAAGTTTGTCCCTTTCCCACTCCAGCATAAAATAGCGCAGTAAAGCAGAGAGTGGAAAAGGAACGAGCGTTCCAAGTGAAGTGAATTATAGGGTGCGGCATTCCAAATCTGCTGATCTGACTCTCTCTCATCTGGTGTGCTCACACGAACTTCCGTCCGCTAATGCCCCACCCTCAATTAATATGCCCAAAGTGAGTGCTCTTATTGGAAATTTCGCGCGTTTCGCTCGCGGTTTCTGCGCGTTTTCGGTGCGGGTTTCGTCGTCGAAGTCGTCGTGCGGTGTCCCCTCTCTTTGAATCGTCAGAACGGACATTATGTGCAGAGCACAATAAAAATAAAAGCAGCCGGTAAGAAAAATGTAACGGGACAAATCTATTGGTAAGTGTGATAATTTTGTATTTCTGTTTTTCTTTGATCGTAATTTTTGATGTGTGAAATTTTTGAGCCTGCAAAATGTGGTGGTTCAAGTATTTTTGGTTGGGTAAAGGAGGCGTAAAATGAAAAGAGAGAAAATACCGCAAGCGTGGGCGCTCTCTTAACAAGGTGTCACATTTGTAGGGGGAGGCAATCCAAAGACAGATCTTCCGCGCTCTCTCTAATGCAAGTTGAGCATGGGAGGGGTGAGGGTGGGCTAGCTATGCACACAGAGTAAGAGAGCGTACTTTCTGTGACACCTCACCTTCATAAATACCCACACACACTATCGCAATCGCTCAGAAACACCTACACTCTTATTTATTCACACACGCATAAATAAAACCATCGAGCGGCTAACTGATTTCGCAATTGAAAAAGGAAAACCAAAATTGTACAGCCAGCTCACGAGTATTGAAATTATTAAATATTAAATATATTATTATATATTATAGATTTATATATTATTTATTTGTATGATAAATCAATTCATATTTCATATATTTATTTGTATAATACAATTTAGTAGTTAAGCTTATTCTACCCCTTAATTAGTTACAGCTATGAATTACCAATACAACTTACGGACGGACTTTATGAACTGAAACCTAACTGCCATACACTCTCGCGGGGGATGATTCACTTTTAAAATGTTAAGCTTCCAAGTGCTAAAATCTAAACACTAAATTAAGTTGTAAATTAACAGTCTAATGGGCCACACTTGACCCCCACTTCAGTGCACTTGCATTCCAGGCATTGGCTGGATAATTCGACGATAATCCGACCGACGCGATACATGCGGCCATAAATGTTGCATCCTGCCAGTTTCAGCATGCCCATGGGATCCATGGGGCTCTCATCGCTGCTTCCTCTGTCCCTCTCCCGCTCACGCTCTCTCTCCCTCTCTGCTGAGCGTGGAGTCTCTTCCGTTGTGGATGTTGTCGGTGTGGGTGTCGTACTCGGTGCATGCTGGTAATGGTGGAATTGTTGCTCCGTTGGCTCGACCTGCTGCTGCTGCGGCTGCAATCTGTGCGGTCTCACCTCATAGCTGGTGTCCATGAACGGTAATTTGTCGAATGGTGAATTTAAAAATGGATGCATAGTGCTCGTTGCTGCTGCTGTTATAGTTGTAGATTCAACTGCAGCTCTCGTTGTTGTCGTTGTTGTTGTTTGGGGCACTCGTGTGGTTACCCGCGTTACTGTTGCTGGCATCGTACTCTTGTTGACCAAAGTTCGACGCGTGGTTGTTTGGATTTTTGTTCTACTTGGCCCCGGATTGCGTCTATTGCCCGTAGATTGTTTGGTTTTCGTTTTACTGTTGCCCTTTTTGTTTGTGCCACGTGTCGTTGTCGTTGGTCGTGCTGTGGTGCTGGCACTGGTGCTACTGGTGGGGTTTGTCGTTGTACTGCTTATCGTCGTTGTTGTTGTTGGGGATGCAGGGGATGTTGTTGTTTTTGTTGTTGTTGTTGTCTGTGTACTCTTGTCTGGCATCTGCTTGAAGGGCGGCACAGTGCTGCTGACAACTGCCGCTGCTGCTGCCTTAGGCAGCTCCATGCCCAGCAGCTCATCCAAGAGCTTATCTAATTTATTGATTTCGAATTTATCCATGAGCGGTAGTTGCTTTTCCGCTGTGGAGGAGCCCGAGGAGGGTGTGGAGGCACTGACTGTTGCGTTGCTGATGCTGTAAGTGACGGTTTCAATGTGTTCTTCAATTGGTTGCTTGTTCGCTTTATCCTCGATTAGTGCGTGCAGATTGGGCGGCGGTTCAGTGTGAATGACATCCTTGAAGGGATCTGGTGTGGTTATTTCTGTAAAAGAAAAGTCCATAGATACATAAATGAATTATCAAATAAATAAAAACAAATTAATGATAAAAAATAAATAAATGACTGAATAAATCAATAAAATAAATGGAAAAAAAAGATTATAAATAAATATAAATGAACAAATCAATGCATAATAAATATAAATGAATAAATCGATAAAAAATATAAATAAATAAATATAATAAAAAATAAATAAAAAATAAATTTAAGAAATTAACAAATAAAACTAAAAACTAAAAAATAAAATAAAACTAATGAAAAAAATAATAAGTAAATTAAAAATAAAAATGATAAATATAAAGATACAAAATAATTTCTACCCCCAATTGAACTCACCTATCGCTGAAGTATCGTTACCCTGCTCCCCTGCTCCCGTTGTTATATCGATTATATGCTGCGTCACATGATAACTATCGGCCAGAGCATTCAGCACACTGGACGTGACATGTTCCTGCAGCACTTCGCCATCGATGACCAGCGGTTCCTTGGGCATAAAGCCACCCTCCGTCTCGGTGGGTGGCGAGAAGCCGCTGTGTGCCGGTGGCACCACCTGCTGATCAAAGTCAAACTTGACATATGCCGCACTGCCTTGGTACTGTCCACCCACATGGACGACTGGCTCGGGGGCTGGCTCCACCGCGGGCACTTCCACATTGAATTTGTACTTGTAGGCAGCCTGATCGGGGTTTGGTTGGGCATACAGCGCCACCTGTACCGCATCGTCGGCAGTTTCATAGCTGACAACATCCATTTTATCCGAGGCTATTTGCGAAGGATTCGGAAGAGGATTCTGATAGAAGCCGCCGTTTGGGTAGCCGCCGCTCTCCTGT